AAAAAAGTATCTTAATTAAAATGGCCCGGCGCCGTAAAACTTTACCGCAGAGATTGAGAGAGGATTCAGTCCGACCAATACCAACTATTTTCGGCGATTTTAATTTTTGGCCAAATTTACAAAGGCAAAAATAGCCTTCGTGTTTTTAGCGAAAAGTGATGGGTCCGGATTTTGACGGAAAAGTAGTCGAAACGGCGGAGGCAGAGGTGACCCAGTGGACCACAAAACTATCTTCGGTTCCGTCAGAAACCGCCCCTGTCCACAGAAACTTGCGTTTTCAAGGTGGTCTAATCTGGCGGTCAGCGTACGATGGGCTGCCTACCTCGCAGGCGAACCGGTCCGAGAAAACCAGGCGTAACTCACTTGAAATGGACCGGGGGGTGAAACTTCGACGCAGCGATTGAAAGGACCAATCCTAACCATTTCCAGCGATTATCAAATTTTTCATTTTTGGCAAAATCTACAAAGGCATGGGTCTGGTTTTTGACTGAGGAGTACTTGAATAGATAGGGGTGAACCAGGGACCACAAAACTACCTTTGCCTCTGTCAGAAACCACTCCTTTTCACAGTAACTTGATTTTTAAGAGCTGGTCTCTCTAAGTATGGGTGGGTAGGCTACCTAAGGCGCACTGGTTAAGAACTCTGCTGCAGTGGGTCGGCACCATGATATTTAGACAGAGCAACTGAAAAGGAAGTTTGCCCGACCAATCCTAACCGATTCCAGCAATTTTCCAAATTGTCAAGACTTTTAAAAGACATTTTCAATGTTATCATCAAATACCACCCTTTGATGCACACGAAAGGAAGCTCCTCATTGTGGGGACAAATTGGACCAGCGTTGGCGGTTACTGTAATGTCAACTCACCTATTCTTTTGGGTAAAATGACTCCATAGACTTCTCTTGCTCATGTCAAGAACATTTCTGGGCCGAGTTCCTGCAATCATATTAAACGGTACTTTTAGCGCTCATCAACTTTTAATTACAAATAATTAACTCATACAATACACTTTAAAATGCCTCTCCCCCCATGCGTCTCTAAATGATCAAGGTCTTTCAAATAACTAATTTTGGCACTGGATTAAACATTAAGTACGAAGGGGCAGCAGCAAATTATCTGCAACGCATATTGATTGATTGTTTGAGGGATTACGCAAATAGTACCACTCGGTTTGCACCCCAACCAGAAAGTAATAAAGTTTTCTGTTCCACGAGAATAAAATAGAGTAAAATATATGATATGTGATAAAACACTGGCAGTTCACCCATTTGCATAAGTGACCTACAACAGTATTTAACATACTGCATGGATTGGCGCAACACCTTTTCAACAAAGCTGACATAGTGAGCCAAGTTATTTACATCACGGGCATCATTTACTCGGCCTAAAAACATAACTTTCAACTTAATTGTGCGTGTAAACATTGAGGCACAGGAGAACACTAACCTCCTACAACAATAACCGGAATGGAACAATTCAATATTCCGGACCGGAAACAATCAAGCACTATACCTTACAATTAATATCGAACAGCGGCGATATCCACTCTAAAATTCTGGTTAAAATCCTATCATCATCAATTATATGAGTAGGTATTATCGGTATTTGGCCGATTTTCACTGTTTGTTTACGTTTCCATAAAGGCGCGGGGCGCGGTGGGGAGGAGGAGAAGGGGTAGGGGACGCGGCACGGCAAAGGGGGAGAGCAATAATTACGGAACACTCGCCGGCATATCGTGGTCGCGGGATGTTATTCTTTCCTGGGGTAGGCAATCCCGCCTCGCTTGTCCAAGATGTGATCCTTTGGGGATGCTTCCCGTCCCGTGCATCGTTGTGTGAGTGGCTCCAGGCGGCAACGCCAGGGAAGTGCCATGTGACAATAGTGAAATGATCAGGATAATAAACTATGATGGGCGATTTGCTATTAATAATAATTATATTTGGCGACTTTTAAGAAATATACACTATCCCGTGTGTAACAACGTTTGGAGCCGAATCGTATTTGTCGTGGGGGGGTCATGGGCGTGCTCGGGAAGGTCCCCACTGACGTCCCCGGGGGCCCGGACGACATCGGCACTACCAGATTTGGACTCAGCGTGCGAGAAAACCCCCGAACACGATATTTCGGTCGTCCTGGTCGTTCCGAGGTTGACGGTCGGTCGGTCGGTCGGTCGGCCAAACCGTATCTTATTTTGACAGCCCCTTGAACTTGAACTTGGCCACGACTGAACGATACATGATACATACAGAGCACAACTAGCGGTAGCATCCAGATCTCGGCTGTGACTGACGCCCGAAGACACTTGGCCAGCAGAGCAGGAAAAATGATCGCGGACGGGGTTCGAACTACCGCCCATCCCCACGATCTGCCAACGATCACGCTTTAATACGCTCGGCTACCAGCTTGCTCCTCCGGGGCCGAGGTCTAAGCTCGGTCCTGCCTAACGGGTGACAAAAATAAGCGACAAAGAAAAAAAATTGCCCCGACCGGGAGTTGATCTTAGGGTCGACAATTTTGGTTCGGATGAAGCTGCATGCGGTCATGACGATTGTAGCTACAACTGTTTAACTACAAAAGGGGCGTGTGGCTGGTGGCGTTGGAATTCGTACCATGTTGCCCCATTTGTGACCACATTTTTGTGTCCATGATCAGGGACGTGTCTACCTACTACCACTTGTCGCCGCGACACGAGTTGTCGCTTGGACGCATGCAAGGTAGGCCACGGCTTCTCTCTAAGGCGTCTGTCGTGACGGGGACTTTGGGTTTAGGCTCCTTTTGACCCCAGGCTCATAAATCCTTTCGAAAGCTAGGAAGTGAGGCTGTGTCAATCTAGGCGTGGGTCGATGACTGTCGCCGAAAACGCCTGGAGGGTAGGCAATGCTTTCCTGAATCGGGCCCCCGAGGCGCGCCGCGGCCCCCTGCCCCCCGAGCGCTTGGACTAGGCGAGAGCTTCGGAAAGGCATTGATATCTTTCGTTTTCGCTTAAGTCCTCAGCGCTGTTTACTTCTGGTTAATATTCTAGCATTGGCGGAAGTAATGAATTCGTCTATAGACGGTTCAGATTCAGCTGACTCGGGCACTGTCGGCTGAAGCTAAAATCGTGTAGCTGCAAACAGGGACGTCCCGTTTTTCCATCTGCTTGCTTACTTCATTTTCAAAATTAATGTGGGTGAGTAAATGGCGACCTTCTCAAGTGCCTGAATTTTTATTCGTTCACCTGCAAGTGTGTGAATATTTTGTCGGTGTGAATTTTTCATGCGACATTTGTACACTTACAATTCCAGTGCGGTGACTTGAACCGGGTTGTTTGGTGAATTCCTCGACATTTCCCCCAGGGCAGGGCAGTGCAGGGCCCCGACAAAGTATCCCTGCCTGTCCGGCCCTGCTTCAGGCCGGCCCTGAGCCCTAACAAAAACGCCAAACGGAAAGCAAAAAATCTACCTTGAGCCTGGAGTCGAACCGTCGACCTCCGTCGCTCTGGGCGGGTGGGGTGGGTGCTCTGCCGACTGGGCCATGATGAAGGTGAGATACAGGTTCAGGCTGGCGCTCCTCTCTTATTTTTAGTTATTTCTACAGTCGGTTCGGATAAAACTGCCTGTGGCGGTGTAGGTTGTCTAAAACTGTGTAGCTACAGGAGGGACGTAGCGCCTGCAGGGCTCGGGATAGACAGACCCGTGGGGCACCGGTGTGTGGCGCACGGCTCCGTGGCCTACCCACCAGGCGCTGTGCGCTCTGCCCTTCCCTTCACAAGCCGCGTCATGGTCATGGTTATCCACGCGAAATGTACTTGTTTGTTTGTACTGTAAAATTTTGTACTAAGTCAAACCCGGTTCAACCTACGTTTGGTTTCAGACAAATTTGTGTGCAAAAATGCATGATTTCTGACAAATTACTGCACTAAAATGTTGAAATCAACGATGAAATGTGTGCAGAAAATTTGCATAGATCGATTTCACTTAGTGTGTGTGTTTGGCTGAGAAAAGGCGTTTGGGAGAGCAGACAAAACACACGTACGCGCGTTTAATTTTAGAGCACAGCCTTTATCACAATAAAATTTAAAGCAGGAACATTGTCACTCGGACATTAAAAACTTCAGTTTCAACTATATCACATTCTTGGTATAGACATTAAATCAGCAATTAAGAAAACAAATCACAAAATAAAACTATTGATACAGGCAATTTGAGTGCCGATATGAATTGATTTGCTTAATTAAGCGTAATGATATCTGAACAACACTCTGGAATATTTACTGAGACCTTGGCTAAAAATTGAAAGGCTCAGAGAAAGCAACAGTTTAGGCTGATTTGCAGAGTGAAAGAATCTCTGACATAATCTATGTCAATTTAACACTTCATTGAACAGGGTGGCATACCCAAGTGAGCAATGAAATGTCAGACCGATATCAAAACGAGGTCAAAAATCATAAATTTGTCGGTTTTCGCATCAGGTGGATAAAAATGTGGCCCTGAAATTGACACGTTTCTGATATCTGATATCGTTCTGATATCTGTGTGACTTTTCATTGCTCAATGGGACGGACTCAGTTTGTTGTTTTGACCTACCCGACACGCAAGCACGTAAGCCAGTTGCCTACTCCCGCGATTCCGCAAAACACTACGGAAAAGAATTTAGGCAACCCGAACACATGCGTCTTGCCGCAGACAGCGAAGAAACCACACCGCTGAGCCACCATGTGCAGTAGAATCTGCATTGGAAGGAAGACAACGTCATAACTGCCAAAAGATACTTAAAATAAAAGGCTAGAACAGATCTATACGCAAAGGACAAAATGTGCGCGACATTAAGTCAAAACACATAATGAGAAAACCAAAGATTTTCAGTACGCTGCAACTCTCTGGGACTAAAGAAGAGTAGAAAACCTTAATTAGTTTAATATTAATTGAAAAGCAAGATTGAAAACCGTACAAGAATGACAGGGAATGTAATTAGATAAATATGTTATTATTTTCTAGAAACAGCGTTTCTATACTGAATAAATCCGTGCGTGTACGCGCGTTTAACAAATGCTCTTTTTTGTGATTCACTTTTGACAGATATGCAAATACTGTATAACGATGATTCTGGCGAGATAACTGCAATATAATCGGAGAAATTCCATTGTGTCTGGTCGCATAGCAGCCAGACACATTATCCCTAAATTACAGAAAATACAGGAATAATAACAACAACAAGTAACAATAATTTAACAAGGTTTAGTCATTTTTTTCGTTATGATGAAAACGGTTTTCCCGTTAAAAGTTCGATTTGAAGGACTAAGAAAAATGGAATCAAAATATACTCGAAGTAGAAAATTACCTGAAACGTTCTAGCGGCAGCTCCGAGCAACTACGCCATTAAATATGACAATGACAATGAAAACGATGTACACAATAACAAGGGTAAACTAGAACTATATTTAAGAGTGTATGTGGATTGCCAAAATACACCCTAATTACAAAAAATAATAATAATAAAATGATCAGTCATACAACACTTTGTGCTGTTCAGCATAGCTTAAAGCCCCGAATAATAATTAATTTACTTTGTGCTTCTTCCGCTGGTCACGCCGTCTTTCGCTCTCGGATAAGTTGTGCGGCTTTAATTCTCTGTACAAAATCTGGAAAATAATAGAATTCGTTGTTTGAGATATTACTCGATCAATAACGAATAATAACAACGTTGTTGAGCCTTACTAAGTCCATGTCATCGGGAACGCGGGAGAGTAGATCCAACACTTCATTATTTGGCACAGTGTGAGGTCTGACAATCTTGCGTGCAAACTTATTGATACCCCATCCCATGATTAAGTATCTCGCGGGTATCCAGTACAACACAAAACCAGCCAAAAATAACATTATGATGGCGATGTAAGACAAAAACGGCACTGTAAAATTAAAGGTGCTGCAAAGGAAACGCAACGGTTGAGCATTATCTAGATAAAGTGATATGCATGAAGCAAACATGTGAATCAAAAGATCTTACTTTTTTATGCTTTCCCCTAGCGATGCTATATGACCAATTGAATTTTGCACGGTTTGCGTAACTTCCTGAATAGCATGTAAGCGCTCCTTTAAACTCATTTTCCCATCCTGAAAAGAGAATTATACCACAATATCAACATTTTTCTTTAATATTTGAAGATATGTTTTGGAAAGTAATTGAATTACCTTTTCTTTGTCATCATCGTCGGAATCTTCGTCTCCTGACAGATCGTCATCACCATCGTGTGAAACCCACCCCCCAGTTAAAGACAGGACCTACAAGAAGAACATACAAATTATTGTGGGTAAACAACTTGAAAAGCCAAATGAGATGGGCCCTCAGTGACTGCACACTTACGATGTAGTATTTCAAAAACACGCAAAGTAACCCAACTGGCACCATATATGGTTCAAAGTAGTAACATCCCGGTATGAAAATGACCAGAGAAATAATGCTCCTCGGCGTAGACTCCCATTCAAAGCAGCTCCTGAAAGAAAATGTTGTTTTTCAGTCAGTCTTTACCATGCGTTGGCTTTGTATAGAGAGGAGCCCTCTGCATATCTGTTTGCACTTACTGTAAATATTTCCCAAAATCTATCACGCACATAATTAAAGTTTTTAGCCGCATAACGTTACGCAAAAACACTTGGCGTTTGAATTTCGTTTCTGATTGCATGTACTTTTTCTCTTTAGGGTTAATGGTTCGAATACTCGCGCGAATCTGCAATGTAAGAAATGAAAGTCACATATGAGGATGCGAGCAGCAGTGTATAGGAAATAACGAGGGGGGGGGGGGGCAACTCGGCAAAATCGTGTACACAGAAATACAAAGAATACAAGCAAAAATACGCGAAACTACTCTACAATTTATAGAAATACAAAAAAAAAAATACACGCAATTTCACGAGAAAAATACAAGAAAAATACAAGAAATGCGCGCAAAGTGTAGACAGAAATACACGAGTCGCCCCCCCCCGGAAATAATTGCGAATTAAGGCGGCCCCCTTTACTTCTCATTACTTCACTCTACATTACCTGGTTCCAGATGACCGTCATTTCCAGCAGTATTTGAGGGTTGTTTCCTTTCGCTCGACTCGTCAAATTTTTATCCTTGAGGCAGTACCACCGTTTCTCTCCGGAACGGACTCGGATCAGAGGAACGGCAAGCTTACCGAGGAATTCCACCTTGTGGTCTCTATCCTCATCGTACACCGTAATCTCTAGCACCGAATTTATGTCTTTCACATTGCTGGTGAAAAGAAAACATATTGATACACAGGGAAAAGGGGGCCCTGGGCGGTACGAATGTCGTTCACACACACAAGCTTGTGTTTCCGGAGTAAAGCGACTTACAATGTGAAAATCTTGTTCCACTGCGGCGCCAGAGTCTTGTACTCGGTCTGCGTCTGCAGGCGGGCGTTGACGAGCTCGAGCACACAAAAAGGGTCGGACTTGCCACCGAGGTCCGCGGCCGCCAGGCCCTGGGCGCGGAAAACCTTGACGGTGAGGTGGCCGACGTCACGGAGATTGTTGAACGACTGGAGAATGCCCTGCAAGAGTTGAGAAAACACAAGACGAATCTCGTTCATTCGCAGTACAACGAACGACTCCAGCATAGCGCAGGGGCGGTGATGGGGTCCTTTATCATATAAGCGTACATGACTTTTTCTGTTTAACATTTTTATTCTTTTCTGATTTCTTCTGATTTTCTTTTAGGGGGGGGGGTGTACACTGATTATTTTTTGGAGTGAAGGACCCCTCCTTCACTGTGAAAAATAGTAAGTAGGTTTACAGGAAAATTTTCCTTGACGCAAGTTGTAAAATTACAATTTGGAATCTTAAAATTACATGCAGTACGTATCGACTTCAAATCCATTGGCAAGTAAAAATGTGTTGTCGTAAATTTACGACTTAAATTATAATTCAAGTTTACAAATTTTTTGTACATTTACGACGATATTTTTGACACTGGTGGAACACTTACATATCGCTGCTCGACGTGCACGCGCTCGCGCGGGTTCTCCTCGTACGTCGTCAGGTCCGAGATGGTCTCCGAGGCGGTGGTGCCGCTGATGGTCAGCAGCAGGAACACGGAGCCGGCGCCGTTGTCGAAGGGCTGTCGGATGCGGTGGGTGGACTCGCGCTCCAGCAGAGACAGGTCGATCGTGCACCTGAATAGCGACGCCGTCATTACCATGTCATCTCCTTGTGGCCCCGTCTCCTCTCCCCCTCTCTCGTCTCGTCTCGTCTCGTCTCCCTCTCTCCCTTCTCTCTCACTCTCTCTCTCACCCGGCCCCTGCCCCCCCCGCCACCGACTCATCCGACCCCTTCCCTGCCCTACCCTACTAGAGGCTGTGAGGCGCAAAGGCGGTAGGGATTGGTAAGAGACGGAGAGAGAGAGAGAGAGAGAGAGAGAGAGAGAGAAAGAGAGAGAGACAGAGAGAGAGGGGGCTTGGGGCCCACGCAAGGACTCCGGGGGAAACTAATTAGTTTGCAAGGTGTACACTGCCGCCAACAATCCGATATGGCCGT